GGGAACGACCCCCGGGGTGGGGGTGGGGGGGACTTCACCAGGCCAACTGGAAGAGAGAGAGAGGAAAAAAAAAGAAAGGTGACTGGTACGGACACGGGTTTCTCTCTCTCCGCTCACCTCTCAAGGGCGAGCAAGAAAAAGAGCAGGCGCCATCTTGGACATACGTCATAAGCAGAGCGACCTCAGGTCTGCACCGGCCCTGAGCCTAGCAGAAAAACCTGACTCTGGGTGGGGCAAATTAACAGGAGATTAGGACCTAGTAAATTTGTGGTGCTACTGAACTGAGACTGTGAAAAAAGAGACGGTGGGGGAGAGAACTCACGGAATTCACGTGAGCACTCTCCAGAGACGCTACAATTCCGTAACTTTGGCAACCCAGTGGGAGACTGAAGGAGAATTTGAGCCCACTCTGAGGGCCGAACAGATTCCCTGTGTGGTCCTTGGGAAAGAGCTTCTGATCTCTGGCTCCTGTGGGTATATCATTTGCCTGCTAACTACCTCCAACTTCGTTCAGCTGTGCAGAATTACTTCCCTTTTGAATCAAAAAAAAAAGAGAGAGAGAGAGAGAGAGAGGTTTACCATGCCTAACCTGGGAGTGTCACCTTTGGCACACCAAACAGAGCTCTCAGGCCACACCCATCTCAAGCCCTAAGGCTCCATCAAAAGCAGATAGTCCACTTAATCTAGAGTCATAGTATAACAAGAAAAAGCACCACAGTGAAGAAACCAAATATCTCCAATATGCCTAATAACAAACGCAAAAACCAAGGTAATAAAAACAAGGAAGTCACCATGAAGCTCTCAAATGAAAAAGACACCCCAATTCAAGATTATGAGGATGATGACATAGAAGAAATGCAAGAAGCAGATCTCAAAAATTGATAAGAACATTAAGAAGTTCTCAAAAACAAATTCTTGAACTACAGAAATCCTTAATGGACAAGATAGAAAATCTCTCTCGTGAAAATGAAATATTAAGGAGGAATCAAAATGAAACGAAACAACTAGTACAACAGGAAACTGGGATAGTGACTGAAGTGAAGAATTCAATAGATCAAATGAAAAACACAATAGAGAGCCTTACAAACAGAATGGGAGAAGCAGAAGAGAGAATATCGGACTTAGAAGACAGAGAACAGGAAAGGATACAGTCAGACCAAAGAAAAGACGAGGAAATTAGAAATCTAAAACATATTGTCGGGAATTTCAGGATACTATTAAAAAACCCAACATTCGGGTTCTAGGAGTTCCTGAAGGCATGGAGAGGGAGAAAGGATTAGAAGGCCTTTTTAGTGAGATATTAGCAGAAAATTTCCCAGGTTTGGAGAAGGACAGAGAAATCCTAGTACAGGAAGCTCACAGAACCCCTAATAAACACGACCAAAAGAGAGCCTCACCACGACACGTTGTAATTAAACTCTCCACAGTGAAACATAAAGAAAAGATCCTAAAATGTGCAAGAGAGAAACGTCAGATTACTCTCAGAGGATCTCCAATCAGACTCACAGCTGACTTCTCATCAGAAACTCTACAAGCTAGGAGGGAATGGCGAGATATAGCCCAGGTACTAAGAGAGAAAAACTGCCAGCCCAGAATATTATATCCTGCAAAGCTATCATTTGTGAATGAAGGTGAAATAAAGACTTTTCATAGCAAACAGAAATTGAAAGAATTTGTTGCCACTCGTCCAGCCCTGCAAAAGATGCTTAAAGATGTGTTACACACAGAAACAAAGAAACACGGTCATCAATATGAACGAAGGTAAAGGAAGGAAAGCTCACAGCAAAAGATCACAGGGAATTCAAAGCACATATTAGAACTTATCTTTGGCAAATGGCAGGGCAAAGTTACCATTTATCATTAGTCACATTGAACGTGAATGGCCTGAACTGTCCAGTTAAAAGACACCGATTGGCTGATTGGGTTAAGGAACAAAACCCATCTATTTGCTGCTTACAAGAAACTCATCTTTCCAACAAAGATCCATACAGACTGAAAGTGAAAGGCTGGAAAAAGATATACCATGCCAACAGAAATGAAAAAAGAGCAGGCGTAGCCATCTTAATTTCAGACAACATAAACTTTACCACAAAAACCGTTAAGAGAGACAAAGAGGGACACTACATAATGATTAAGGGATCAATTCAACAGGAAGATATAACAATTATCAATGAATATGCACCTAACTACAGGGCACTGGTTTATCTAAAAGATTTGTTAACGGACTTAAAGGGAGACTTAGACCCCAATACAATAGTACTGGGGGACTTCAATACTCCACTCTCAGAAATAGACAGATCAATAGGACAGAAGATCAACAAGGATACAGTAGATTTAAATGACACTATAGCCCAAATGGATCTAACAGATTTATACAGAACTAACAGATTTATACAGAACTTTCAATCCTACAGCTAAAGATTTTACATTCTTCTCAGCAGTACATGGAAACTTCTCTAGGATTGACCACATACTAGGCCATAAAGCAAGTCTCAGCAAATTCAAAAGAATTAGAATCATACCATGCAGCTTCTCAGACCATAAAGGAATGAAGTTGGAAATTAGCAACTCAGGAATCCCTAGAGCATACGCAAACACATGGAGATTGAACAACATGCTCCTGAATGAACAATGGGTCATAGAAGAAATCAAAAGAGAAATCAAAAACTTTCTGGAAGTAAATGAGGATAACAGCACAACATACCAAAACTTATGGGACGCAGCAAAAGCAGTGTTAAGAGGAAAGTTTATATCAATAGGTGCCTACATCAAGAAATTGGAAAGGCACCAAATAGATGAGCTTTCAATTCACCTCAAGGATCTAGAAAACCTACAGCAAACCAGACCCAAATCTAGTAGGAGAAGAGAAATAATTAAAATCAGAGAAGAAATCAACAGGATTGAATCAAGAAAAACATTCCAAAAAATCAGCCAAATGAGGAGCTGGTTTTTTGAAAAAATAAACAAAATTGACACCCCATTGGCCCAACTAACTAAAAAAAGAAGAGAAAAGACCCAAATCAATAAAATCAGAGATGAAAAAGGAAACGTAACAACAGACACCACAGAAATAAAAAGAATCATCAGAAATTACTACAAGGACTTGTATGCCAGCAAACAGGGAAACCTATCAGAAATGGATAGATTCCTGGACACATGCAACCTACCTAAATTGAACCAGGAAGACATCGAAAACCTAAACAGACCCATAACTGAGACAGAAATTGAAACAGTAATAAAGGCCCTCCCAACAAAGAAAAGCCCAGGACCAGATGGATTCACTGCTGAATTCTACCAGACATTGAAAGAAGAATTAACTCCAATTCTTCTCAAACTATTCAGAACAATCGAAGAAGAGGGAATCCTCCCAAATTCTTTCTATGAAGCCAGCATCACCTTAATTCCTAAGCCGGAAAAAGATGCAGCACTGAAAGAGAATTACAGACCAATATCCCTGATGAACATAGATGCAAAAATCCTCAATAAAATTCTCGCCAATAGAATGCAACAACACATCAGAAAGATCATCCACCCAGACCAAGTGGGATTTATCCCTGGTATGCAGGGATGGTTTAATGTGCGCAAGACAATCAATGTGATACACCACATTAACAGACTGCAGAAGAAAAACCATATGATTATCTCAATAGATGCCGAGAAAGCATTTGATAAAATACAACACCCGTTCATGATGAAAACTCTAAGCAAACTGGGTTTGGAAGGAACATTCCTCAATACAATCAAAGCAATCTATGAAAAACCCACAGCCAACATCCTATTGAATGGGGAAAAGTTGGAAGCATTTCCACTGAGATCTGGGACCAGACAGGGATACCCACTCTCACCACTGCTATTCAATATAGTTCTGGAGGTTCTAGCCAGAGCTATTAGGCAAGAAAAAGAAATTAAAGGGATACAAATTGGGAAGGAAGAACTCAAACTATCCCTCTTTGCAGATGACATGATTCTGTATTTAGGGGACCCAAAGAACTCTACTAAGAGACTATTGGAACTCATAGAAGAGTTTGGCAAAGTAGCAGGGTATAAAATCAATGCACAAAAATCAACAGCCTTTGTATACACAGACAATGCCATGGCTGAGGAAGAACTTCTAAGATCAATCCCATTCACAATAGCTACAAAAACAATCAAATACCTTGGAATAAACTTAACCAAAGACGTTAAAGATCTCTACGATGAAAATTACAAAACCTTAAAGAAAGAAATAGAAGAGGATACCAAGAAATGGAAAAATCTTCCATGCTCATGGATTGGAAGAATCAATATCATCAAAATGTCCATTCTCCCAAAAGCAATTTATAAATTCAATGCAATACCAATCAAGATACCGAAGACCTTCTTCTCAGATCTGGAAAAATTGGTGCTGAAATTTATATGGAGGCACAAGAGACCTCGAATAGCTAAACCAATCTTGTACAACAAAAACAAAGCTGGAGGCATCACAATACCAGATTTCAGGTCATACTACAGGGCAGTTGTAATCAAAACAGCATGGTACTGGTACAGAAACAGATGGATAGACCAATGGAACAGAATTGAAACACCAGAAATCAACCCAAACATCTACAGCCAACTTATATTTGATCAAGGATCTAAAACCAATTCCTGGAGCAAGGACAGTCTATTCAATAAATGGTGCTGGGAAAATTGGATTTCCACGTGCAGAATCATGAAGCAAGACCCCTACCTTACACCTTACACAAAAATCCACTCAACATGGATTAAAGACCTAAATCTACGACCTGACACCATCAAGTTACTAGAGAACATTGGAGAAACCCTTCAAGATATTGGCACAGGCAAAGAGTTTCTGGAAAAGACCCGGGAGGCACAGGCAGTCAAAGCCAAAATTAACTATTGGGATTGCATCAAATTGAGAAGTTTCTGTACTGCAAAAGAAACAGTCAGGAGAGTGAAGAGACAACCAACAGAATGGGAAAAAATATTTGCAAACTATGCAACAGATAAAGGGTTAATAACCAGAATTTACAAAGAGATCAAGAAACTCCACAAAAACAAAACCAACAACCCAATTAAGAGATGGGCCAAGGACCTCAATAGACATTTTTCAAAAGAGGAAATCCAAATGGCCAACAGGCACATGAAAAAATGTTCAAGGTCATTAGCAATCAGAGAAATGCAAATCAAAACCACAATGAGGTTCCACCTCACCCCGGTTAGAATGGCTCACATTCAGAAATCTACCAACAACAGATGCTGGCGAGGATGTGGGGAAAAAGGGACACTAACCCACTGTTGGTGGGAATGCAAACTGGTCAAGCCACTATGGAAGTCAGTCTGGAGATTCCTCAGAAACCTGAAGATAACCCTACCGTTCGACCCAGCCATCCCTCTCCTTGGAATTTACCCTAAGGAATTTAAATTGGCCAACAAAAAAGCGGTCTGCAGCCTAATGTTTATTGCAGCTCAATTCACAATAGCTAAGACCTGGAACCGACCTAAATGCCCATCAACGGTAGACTGGATAAAGAAATTATGGGATATGTACTCTTTAGAATACTATACCGCAGTAAGAAACAACGAAATCCAGTCATTTGCAACAAAATGGAGGAATCTGGAACACATCATGCTGAGTGAAGTAAGCCAGTCCCAAAGGGACAAATACCATATGTTCTCCCTGATCGGTGACAACTGACTGAACACCAAAAAGGAAACCTCCTGAAGTGAAACGGACACTATGGGAAACGGTGACTTGATCAGCATAGCCCTGACTGTTAATGAACAACTTAATACATTATCCCTCTTAGTAGTTTTTTTGTCTGTTCTACTTAATAGGACTGGTTTAATTCTTTAATTAATACACAGTTATTCTTAAGTGTTAAAAATTAACTGAAATGTGATCCCTGTTAAACATAAGAGTGGGAATAAGAGAGGGAAGAGATGTATAATTTGGGACATGCTCAAGCTGACTTGCCCCAAATGGGAGAGTTAAAAACATACCAGGGGATTCCAATTCAATCCCATCAAGGTGGCATGTACCAATGCCATCTCACTATTCCAAGTGATCAATTTCAGTTCACAATTGATCATAATGAAAGGACTAAGAGTCAAAGGGAGCACATAAACAAGTCTAGTACCTGCTAACACTAACCGATAGAATAAATAAAGGGGAGAGTGATCCAACATGGGAAGTGAAATACTCAGCAGACTCATAGAATGGCAATGTCCTAAATAGCACTCTGGCCTCAGAATCAGCCCTAAAGGCATTTGGATCTGGCTGAAAAGCCCATGAGAGTATTTCAGGCATGGAAAGCCAAGACACTCTGGCAAAAGATCTCTGCGAGTGAGATCCCAGTGGAAAGAACAGGTCTTCAAAGAAGGAGGTACCTTTCTCTGAAGGGAGGAGAGAACCTCCACTTTGACTATGACCTTGTCTAAACAAGATAAGAATCGGAGAACTCAGAGGGCTTCCATAGCCTTGGAAACTCATGACCGGAGCATAGGGAGACTACTGATGCCATAGACAGGAGTGTCAATTGGTAAAGTCAACAACAGGAGTCACTGTGCACTTACTCCTCATGTAGGATCTCTGTCCTTAATGTGCTGTGTATTGAGATTTAATGCTATAACGAGTACTCAAACAATATATTTCACTTTGTGTTTCTATGGGGGTGCAAACTGTTGAAATCTTTACTTAATGTATACTAAACTGATCCTCTGTAAAAAAAAAAAAAAAAAGAAAAAGAAATTATCAACTCCCAACTTGACTCTCACTGCGATTAAACATGACAATAGGTCTGATCTGATTTCATCATCATTTAAAAAAATCATCTATTATTTTTCACTTTATGTTTCTGTGTGAGAGCAAACTGTTGAAATCCTTACTTAATGTATACTAAGCTGATCTTCTGTATATTAAGATAATCGAAAATGAATCTTGATGTGAATGGAAGGGGAGAGGGAGTGGGAAAGGCGATGGTTGCGGGTGGGAGGGACGTTATGGGGGGGAAGCCATTGTAATCCATAAATCGTACTTTGGAAATTTATATTCATTAAATAAAAGTTAAAAAAATAATAATAATAATACAGTATGGTATTATTTATATAACTTTTAAAACATGCAAAAGAGCAGTAGATACTGCCTAGGGATAGATATAATTGATGTATTAGAAGCACATTCCAAGATAAACACCAGTGGCTCCCTCTAGAGGCAGGGAAGAAGTAGAATATGATCTGAGATGAGTACACAGGGGACTTCAATGCATAGTGATGTGTTATTTGTTTAGCTGAGTGGTGTTTACATTATTGTTCTGTATATGTTTCTTGCGTATGTAAATATTTATAAAATAGAACTTAATAAATCAGTGTATGTGGTGGTCCTTGCCCTTAAAAATTGAAAAATCTAACTGTGGGGTAAAAGGTATTGGACATAAAAATGGTAGGCAGAATTACAGATGTATAAATTCCAAATGCTTATTTTCTTAGGATTATGTCTATGAAATACATAAAATCTATACCCTCTATATTAATAAAAAAGTCCAAAAAGACAAGTACCATATGTTTTTCCTATTCTGTGATAACTAATAGAATACAAAAAAAAATGTATATGAGCAAAATTGACATTGTAAGAATTTTTTTTTTTTTTGACAGAGTAGATAGTGAGAGAGAGAGACAGAGAGAAAGGTCTTCCTTTTGCCGTTGGTTCACCCTCCAATGGCCGCCACGGCTGGCGTGCTGCAGCTGGCACACCGCGCTGATCCGAAGGAGCCAGGTGCTTCTCCTGGTTTCCCATGGGGTGCAGGGCCCAAGTACTTGGGCCATCCTCCACTGCCTTCCCGGGCTACAGCAGAGAGCTGGCCTGGAAGAGGGGCAACCGGGAAAGAATCCGGTGCCCCGACTGGGATTAGAACCCGGTGTGCTGGCGCTGCTAGGTGGAGGATTAGCCTATTGAGCCGCGGCACCGGCCTGACATTGTAAGAATTGATTATTGTTTATAGCCCTTGTCTCTACCGGTGAGGAACAGTGTTTTTTTTTTTTTTCCTCTTACTTTTTTGTTGAAGTCTTTACTTAGTGGAGGGTTAATCTTATGATTATAAAATACACTGAAATTATGTCATTGTAAAAATTAAAGGATAAGAAAGAAAAGAGGGGGGTGAGGGTAAAGGCGGGAGGGAGGGTAGGATGAAAAGTATCACTATGCTCCTAAATCTGTATATATGAAACACATGAAATATGCTCAACATATATAAAAAAGTAAAAAGAATTGAAAATTAAAATCCAAATAAGTGTTACTGATAATATTTCTGAAGTCTTTAGGAAAAATCTTTTTGTAGAAGAAAGATGTTTTATTATGAAAGAAGTAGACAGAAATGGAAAGAAGACTCAGAATATGAGCTATGTCCATAAAATCATGTGTACTTCCACTAGAACATTGTCTCCGTGAAGGCAAGATTACCTGTTGTACTCAGTGCTGAGTTCCCAGTCCCTGGCACATTATAGGTAATCTCTATTTGGAAAGACTGAACAGAAGGAAGATTGTCATTCCGGGACAGTGGACAGAGAGAACACACAGGAATTGTGAGGGTTGGTAATGTACTATGCACAGTGGTTCTCAACTATAAATTACTCTTTCCTCCAGAAGAAACATAGAGGTATTTCAAAAGTTCATGGAAAATGAGATTAAAAGATGTTTTTACTTTGGCGCAAAAAAAATTTGAAACCATGTATAGTTTTTTTTTTAAAGTTTTACTTATTTTATTTGAAAGTCAGAGTTACACAGAGAGAGGAGAGGCAGAGAGAGAGAAAGAGAGAGGTTTTCCATCCACTGGTGCACTCCTCAGCTGGCTGCAATGGCCAGAGCTGCGCCAATCTGAAGCCAGGAGCCAGGAGCTTCTTCTGGGTGTCCCATGCGGGCGCAGGGGCCCAAGCACTTGGGCCATCTTCTACTGCTTTCCCAGGCCATAGCAGAGAGCTGGATCGGAAGTGGAGCAGCCAGGTCTCGAACCAGCACCCATATGGGATGCCAGCATTTCAGGCCAGGGCATTAACCCACTGCGCCACAGCACTGGCCCCAATGTATAGTTTTCCTATAATATACATTTTTCATGACTTATTTGAAGAACTCTCCTATGCATGGATTTTAAAAGTTTTGTGCCAAAATAAAGTTATCTGTTTTTAAGATTTTTATCTATTTATTTATTTGAAAGAGTGAAACCAAGAGGCATAGAGATTGAGACAGTGATCATCCATTCACTGGTTTATTCCCCAAATGGCCACAACAGCTGGGGCCAAGGCAGGTAGAAGTCAGAAGCCAGGAAGTCCATCTGGGTCTCCCACGTGGAATGAGAACACAAGCAGTACCCATCATCCACTGCTTCCCAGACACATTAGCAGGGAGCTAGAACAAAAGCAGAGCAGCCAAGACTGGAAGCAGCACCCTGACATAGAATGCAGGTGTCTCAAGGACTTGCACAACTAACTCACTGCACCATGGTACCACTCCCTAAATTTATCTTTCAGTTGCATTTTTCAATGAACTTTTTAAAACATCCTTATATAGTAGGTATTTTAATTTAACATCTGTGGCTGATAACTCAACAATGAATTGGAAAAGCAACTAAAGCGTATCTGAGAAAGCAATTATTCTGATCTTTTAAAAAACTATTTATATAAAACAAAAATATGGAGTAACAATAAAACCTAAACCACTGCAACCATTGATATTAAAAATATTTGAGAACTAACAAGCCTCAGTTAAGATCTACTTTACTATCTACACTTGTCACTACTGAAGTAGGGTGTAGACAAAGCATAATCAGAGCATACTGATATATTCTAAATAGCTCGTGTGCTTTAAAGAGAAAAGGTAAACCACAGAGGCACTGGCAAGCTTCACACTGCAAGACCAGATGAAAGGTAAGAGGTCTAATGCAACTGAATGACGTGGGTGCCCACCAGAAGCCCAAGAAATCATACGGTTTGGTATATTAAGTCCAACAACTGCAGATTCAATGGAAACTCCACCCAAATATTGCTGATGCTTACTAGTAGACTATCTTTCCATCTTTTTGGCTATCACTGTGGTGACTAAAAGAGTACCTTAGAAGAACTTGAAATGAGATATACATCAGAATGAAAAAGAGTACATGTAGAAGACTTGTGGCACAAGAGACAGATGCCACTTGGAATGCCCATGTCCCATATCATAGTGCCTGGGTTTGAGTCTTGGTTCTCCACCCCCTGACTCTAGTTTCCTGCTAATACATGCCCTAGGAGGGGGGACATAATCACTTAAGTGTTCGGGATCCTTGCCACACACTTAGAGGACCTCAACTGTGTTCCAACCTCGGATTTTGGCCTGGCCCAGCCTCAGGAAATTTAAAGGCATTTGAAAAGGGAATCAGTGGATGGGAGATCTTGCTCTTTCTATCTATATCTATCATGTCTACCTTTCAAATAAAATAAAAACAAGTAAATAAAAATGTTTTAAAAGATACTAGATGTATAAAACATTTAGAACACTGTCCACTGTGTCCTAAGATGTCAATAAGTAGTAGCCAGTCTGCCAAAGTAAGTATATTAACAACAAAATTGTTTGCTATTGAATTTCAAAACGCTTTTTGATTGTACTCATAAAACCTAGCTACTTCGTTGCCATCTACCCTTTTACCCAGTAGCTCAGTGAGGGGTTCTTGCACCAGAATGCACTAAGAAAACCAAAGAATCTGAAGTATGCATGATGGCGATTTCCGCCATGAAGATAAACAGGGCTTATGCAATCCGGCTGACATTCAGTTCCCCAGTGTGTACTATTTGGCCTCAGTTTGCCCTACTCTCTGTGGCTCTGTTCTACTTATATAATTTTCATCAAATGATGGGCTTAGGTAGAGCACCAGAGGTGGAGAGTGAAGGAAGAAGCAAAATATATGAAACCTTCAGCTCACCAGAGTAGCTTCATATTACTGGTACGGTGGGAGATTCGATACAAAAGTACAAAAGGTACATAAATTTCCACATAACAATCAGGAAATCAAAGGAATTGTTAAATTTTGGGTACTGTCTAGATGACTTCGATACTAATTTCTTAACTTCTGTGACTGCGATAATATGCTGAAATTAGAAAAGGATCCTTTGCAATTCTAAGTTTTATGATTTATCAATCCTACATTTTCCTAGATACCAAAGAATCAGCTACAAATAGGAAGGGGCAGATATTTCTCCCCTCTCAACAAATTTTCTTTTCCAATATATACTGTTACTCTCTACTTTCTTAAAGGAGACCCTCTAGCAAAGCTAATGATTTCTCCATTACTTATCATGAGCAAAGGGTCATATTTACTTCACGACTGCCACAAATACCCAAATAACATATGGTATAATGACATCAATCCTGAACCTGGAAGATTAGGGCACAAGCTTGATTTACCATGTAAATCTAGCAGTTTGGTACTTTAGAAGTGACATAGGAATTCTAGTATTGGCAGATCCTTGGAGATGTTGTCTTCCATTTCATTCAGTGTAGAGAAGAACACACACCCTTGGTGGGACCAAGGATAGGTGCTTCTAGACATGATGTGAATCCATTCTAGATGTTTCCTTAAATTATTTTTTTAAGATTTATTTATTTATTTTGAAATCCAAAGTTACAGAGAGAGGGAGAGAGAGAGATCTTCCATCTACTTGTTCACTCCTCCAAATGACTGCAATTGCTGGGGCTGGGCTAGGCCAAAGCCAGGAGCTTCACCCTGGGCTCCCAAGTGAGTGCCAGGGGTCCAAGTACTTGGGCCATATTCTCTGCTTTTCCCAGGCCATTAGCAGGGAGCTGGATCAGAAGTGGAGCGGTTGGGACACAAATTGGAGCCCATTTAGGATGCCGGCACTGCAGGAGGTAGTTTAACCCACTATATTACAACTCCTGTCCATTTTCCCCAACAGTTTGAAATCAATGGCAAGTTGGGGTGTGGGCAAGAGTAACAATAAAACATCCTTCCAATAAAATGTAATGTGCAACTTTAATTTATGGTCAGATCAAAATGATGCTACTTTGTCTGAAGAGAACAGAGAGCCTTAAGGACTTCCTCTGAATCTTTCTCCTCCCTTCCTAGCCCCTGAGTCCAGGACTTTCTGAGTCTAGGACTCCCCCAAAGGCCCTCCTCAAGGTGGCCACCAGCATCACCTGGGGGCATGGTGACAATGTAGAATCTTGGGTCCGATCCCAGGTTCACTGAACTGGAATCTACCAGGTCACAGCCTCCCAGTTGTTGTATGTGCACAGCAAACTTGAGAAAAATTGATTTAGAATACAATTAAAAACCAACAAATCACCCCATGTTGCTTCCCCTGTTTAAAATCTATGTCCTAACTTTCTCAATGCCTACTTCACAATGTTGTTGAGACCACAAGTGTGAACGCATTTTGAAAAGTATGTATTTTTTTAAAAAAGAAAGGTATACTTACTAGTTCCAAGTGCCTGGAAGTTTCAGTTACCATCCTGCTTGTGTCCTAGCTAAAAATATCCTTTAAATTCTCATTAAAAAGAGTAATTCTACATGCTAAATCTATTCTCACATCTTAAACATTCTGCAAAAAAAAACTTGTTTTATTTGATTATAGAATATCTATTCAACAAATATTTCCACATGAGTTCTTTCTCTGATCTCTCCTTATCTAAGTTACTTTCTGTGACAGAAGTAGCTGACTGGGTACTGATTTCATTGTATTCCAGATGAGCTATATTTGATGTTAACCAGTGATCTATACAGTAATAATACTTAAATTCCTATTCCAATTAGTATAGCCCATATCAAATATCTCAAATTATGAAGTTAAATCCATTTTCAAAGTTTATACGGTGAATAAAATCACCCACAGAATATTAAAAGTGACAGATGCAGGAGCAGGCTTTTACTCTAGTAGTTAACATGCCTGTATCCCTCACTGGAGTACCTGAGTTCAATTTCTGACTCCGGCTCTTGACTCCAGCTTCCCAGGTGGCAGCAGTGGTGAGTCAGTCAACTAACTGGGTTTCTGCCACCCACAGGAAAGACCTGGATTGTGTTCCAGGTCCTGGCTTTGGCACTGGCCCAGTCCCAGCTGTGGCAGGCATTGAGAGAGCTATGTAATAGAAGCAGATGGGAGTTTCTCTCCCTCTGTGTGTGTGTGTGTGTGTTTGTGTTTGTGTGTGTGTATCTAAAATAAGCAAAATTTTAAAACATAGTTAACATTTTAAAATAATAAATAATTCAAAGACAGAAACCCAATAAATACCAACACTGATATTGTGGGAGAAGCCCATGAAGGAGAGAGGGAAGGGATGAGAACCAGACAGAAAAAAAAAATGGGTTAGAGAAGACAGCTGGCAGATAATCAAAGAGGAGCCTTTGATGAATATCTATTAAATATTCAAAACAGAAAGCAATTGTGATCTTAACAATGGCTGTGTGTGTATAGTTAGGAAACTAGGAAGGTAAACAGACTGCAGTGAGTTTAAGTAGGAAATGAACATCCACAAAGAACTTAGAATCTATTTTTCGGCTTATACAGTCATAAGAGACAATTTCATAGCTTAATGTAACATTTTCTGAAGTGAAGCAAATATAGAAGCAGACGTATCCAAAATAAGGAAAGTGTGGAGATCATAGAAGATTGTCCTGTGCAGGGAACTCTGGTTCAAGAGTAGGATTCCCTCAATAAAATGTCCTACTTGGGAGAAAATGGGATTTCAAAGTAATAACTGGTCATTGGAGAAAGAAAATGCACGATTATTAGAAACAAGAAGCAAGAAACTACAAATAAGACTAGCAAAAAAGTTGACTTTTAAAAAATTTTTTAGATGTATTTACTTATTTGAAAGGCAGAGTTACAGAGAGAGAGAGAGAGATCTTCCATCTGCTGACTCACTCCTCAAATGGCCACAACCATCAGAGGTAGGCCCAACCAAAGCCAGGATTCAGGAGCCTCCTCCAGGTCCCCCACGTGGGTGCAGGGGCCAGGGACTTGGGTCATCCTCCGCTGCCTTCCCAGGTGCATTAGCAGGGAGCTGCATCAGAAGTAGTGCAGCCAGAGCCGGCGCCGCGGCTCACTAGGCTAATCCTCCGCCTAGCGGTGCCGGCACACCGGGTTCTAGTCCCGGTTGCCCCTCTTCCAGGCCAGCTCTCTGCTGTGGCCCGGGAATGCAGTGGAGGATGGCCCAAGTGCTTGGGCCCTGTACCCCATGTGAGACCAGGATAAGTACCTGGCTCCTGCCATCGGATCAGTGCGGTGCGCCGGCCATAGCTCCTGCCATCAGAAGTAGAGCAGCCAGGACTTGAACCAGCACCCATGTGGGGTGCCGTTTCCACAGGTGGTGGCTTTACTGGCTATACCACAGCATGGGCCCCAAGTTGACTTTTTATATATGTCTTGAAATTCCTCAAAAAGAATAGAATTCCTTAAATAGCCCAGACTATAGTTGGGGCAAATTCCAGAGAAGGTACTGGGCTTGAATATGAAAATAAAGATCGGTTGATTCCAGAAACAGAAGAGTATGGGCAAGAGGCATTAAGGAAGCACAGGATAGAATTGACAAAGGAAAATTTTTATTTAAGTGTTAAGTATGGCAGACATAGACAAGGTGGATACCACAGGTAAATTCCTAGAACATTTAGGAGTCGTGGAAGTGAATTATCAAAAGGAATGATGGGGCCAGCGCCGTGGCTCAATAGGCTAATCCTCTGCCTGCAGCACCGGCACACCAAGTTCTAGTCCCAGTTGGGGCGCTGGGTTCTGTCCCGGTTGCCCCTCTTCCAGGCCAGCTCTCTGCTGTGGCCTGGGAGTGCAGTGGAGGATGGCCTAAGTGCTTGGGTCCTGCAACCGCGTGGGAGACTAGGAGAAGCACCTGGCTCCTGGCTTCAGATCAGCGCGGTATGCCGGCCACGGCGGCCATTGGAGGGTGAACCAACAGCAAAGGAACACCTTTCTCTCTGTCTCTCTCTCTCTCTCACTGTCCACTCTGCCTGTCAAAAAAAAAAAAAAAAAGGAATGATGGGCAAACCAAGGAAGAATAGCATTTTATTTAAAAAAAAAAATAGCATTTTAGAAGTCAGTTATATATAAGAAAGCATCTATCCCCGGCTCATGGAAATTATTTGTAAAGGTTCCTGGGATGAACATAAATGAATGTATAAACAAATCAATGGAAAAATAAGAAATGAGGAGATTGGTAATAGTGTTTGTTTTATTCCATTATGCCTAAATTAAGATGGCAACATTATATCATTTTTCATGTGAAATTGCCACTTTATAGGTTACACATGAATGACCTCCCACACCCACATCTTTCTAGACAAAATTAATTTTGAAAAATTTATAATTTTCCCTTGTAAAATCAAATCGAATCCATGGAAGCCACTGATGGAAAGCATTTGCAAACACTCCACCATGGATCTATTTTCCAGTGTCCTCTAAGAATTAGTAGGAAACTTATCAATCTGGTTTTATCATAGAACCCTATTTTTACATTTAATTAAAGATACAATATATGCACCAAGCATACTCACAGTGAGAGAAAACATTAACAAAGACAATGCAACATGCTTCAATAACCCAGTAGGACCAAACCCTGAGAGGATAAAAAAAATAAAAAAGATAACTAAGTAACTGTCAGAATAATCTGAGAAAATAGGAAAAAATTTCATATATGGAGGACAAAATGATGGAAAAATAAATAGAAAATGATGAGGTTGGGGGAGATTCCAAGATGGCAGATTAGGGGGAAACAATGTACTTGACTAGGGATAAAAAGTGAAAGAAAAGAAAGAAAAGGGGGTAGGAAGTGCACTCGCAGGGGAGAACTGGAGAGAAACCCACATTAGAAATCCTACAAGAGTAGGATGAACACCATGGACCTGTGTAGAGGGTGCAGATGCACAGCACAAATACGAACACAACGCACAAGTGCAGCCAACAAGAGCTGGAGTGGGTGGAGGTTTGGAGACGGAGGTGAGACTGGACTGCAGCAACCTGTGGTGATGCAGGCAGAGGGAGAGCGTGGCTTGAGTCCAGACTGGAGCCCTATGGGCTAGAGTTTGCTAGTGGTTGCCACAGACCCAGGAGAAGTAGAGGGGGCATGTTTGTCTCTCCCCAACTTCCTCACAACCGTGCTGGTTGCCTGGCTGAGAAACAGCAGGTGCCATTTTGGGTTTGGGCAGCAGTTGTACAAGCCTTTGTGTGCGTACACAGCAACTGGCTGAGACGGGCCACCATCTTCACAGCAGTGCTGGCGGCAGTGGCAGAGCCACATTCATCCAGTGGATCTTGTATACCCGTGTGACCCAGTGATTCTAGAAGAGGAAACAATCCGCAGGCCCCACTGACTCTGAGTCTGGCTGGGAGGTGAGTGAGTAACCACACAGGATGCTGCAGCACCTGCAGCCTTCCAGGATCAAGACGCCTAGGTGGGACTGTCTCAGGGAACATCTGCCTCACTGTGGACTGGCAGGCTGGTGGGGCAAACAGAAACCTCTGCACCCAGTGACTGTGGCACTCAGAGGTTACAGGAGAAGGTGAAGGGAGTAGCTGGGTCTCTGGGCAATCACTGGGAGTGACACCATGTGCTCACCATGCTCACAGTGAAAACTACACAGATCAATTATGCAGATCATGTGGTGGCCCAGAACACACTGGGAGATAACACCCTGGCATGGAGATCTACCACACCCAAATTGGGTGTTACCCTGGATACTCACCCCACCCTGGGCCACTGAAGAGAGCTCCCTGGTTATACCCACCAATACCCCTAAATAGTCACTGAAAGTGCTGATATCCCACTAAGTCACAGAGGCATAGTTCAAAGAAGAAAAGCCATCAGAAGAAAAAAAACAAAAACCAATCCCACAAATGCCTAAAAACAAATGCAAAAATTCAAGAAACAAGAATAAGGAGGACACCATGACCACCCCCCTCAAAGGAACCCAACATTTCAATAATAGAATGTGAAAATGAAGAGACTGAGTAAATGCCAAAAATGGAATTCAAAAAATTAATCATAGGACTACTCAAAAGGAATCAGAAGCAAATCCACAAACTAAAGAAAACCATAAATGATATGAACGAAAAATTTTCCCATGAAATTGAGATTTTAAATATAAATCAAAATGAAATATTAGAAATGAAGAATTTAATATATCAAAAAAATAATCCAGTGGAAAGCCTTAACAGCAGACTTGGCAAGACAGAGTAAAGAATATTCAAACTAGAAGACATAAGTTTGGCAATCTTACAGTCAAAAAAAAAAAAAAGAAAGAAGAAATCGGAAAGCTTAAACAGGGTTGGAGATTTATGAGATACTATCAAAAGATCCAACATATGGGTCTTAGGAGTTCTTGAAGGTATGGAAACAGAGAATGGACAAGAAGACCTATTTAGTGAAATAATTCAGAAAATTTCCCCAAGTTAGAGGAAGAAAGGGACATTCAAATAGAGGAAGCACACAGAACTCCTATCAGTCCCTGATACTTCATCATGGCATGTTGCAGTCAAACTTTCCACAGTAAAACATAAAGATCCTAAACTTTGCACGATAAAAATGCAGTATTACTGTCAGAGGATCTACAAATAGACTCACAGCTGACTTCTTATCAAAACCCTACATGCTAGAAGGAAACAGAGAGATACAGTCCAAGTCTTGAGAGGAAAAAACTGTCAACACAGAATTCTGTACCCTGCAAAGCTCTCATTAATGAATGAAGGTGAAATAAAGACCTTCTACAACAAATAGAAATTTAAAGAATTTGTCACCACTGACCAAGCCTTACAAAAGATGCTTAAAGATGTGCTACAAACAGATAAACAGAAAGATAGTCATCTTTTTTTAAAAGATTTATGTATTTATTTGAAAGTCAGAGTTACACACAGAGAGGAGAGGCAGAAAGAGAGAGAGAGAGGTCCTCCATCCACTGGTTCACTCCCCAGTTGGCTGCAAAGGCCGGAGCTGCACCCATCCAAAGCCAGGAGCTAAGAGCTTCCTCCGGGTCTCCCACGTGGGTGCAGGGGCCCAAGGCCTTGGGCCATCTTCTACTGCTTTCCCAGGCCATAGCAGAGAGCTAGTCTCGAACCAGCGCCCATATGGGATGCTGGCACTTCAGGCCAGGGCGTCAACCCACTGTGCCACAGTCCGGCCCCGATAGTCATTTTGATGAAAGAATGTAAATGTAGAAATCCACCAGTAAAAGTACAAAAAGAAGTCTGAAGTAAAAAATAGGAATAGTTATGGAAGAATGGCAGAGCTAAGTCATTACTTATCAATAGTGACTTTGAATGTAAATGGATTCAACTCTCCAGTTAAAAGATATAGGCTGGCTGAATGGATTAAAAAGCAAGACCCATCTATTTGCTACCTACAAGAAAAACATCTCACCAACAAAGATACACACAGAATGAAAGTGAAAGGACACAAAAGGACATTCCATTCTAATGAAAAGCAAAAAAGGGCAAGTGTTACCATCCTAATATCAGACAAAATAGAATTCTACATAAAAAAACTGTTAAGAGATGAAGAAGGGCACTATGTAATCATTAAGGAATCAATTTAACAGGAAAATGTGACTATAACAAATGTATACACACCAAATCACAGGGCATCTGGCTATCTAAAAGAAATATTAATGGATCTAAAGGGAGGCACAGTCCCCAATACAATAGTGATGGGGGACTTCACCACTCCACTTTCAACAATGGACAGATAAACAAGACAGAGCTAATTGACATTATGAATCAAATGGACCTAACTGATATCAATAGAACTTTGCACCCCACAGTTGCAGAATATACATTCTCTCATGAGTGCACAGAACATTCTTTAGGGTAGATCTAGGCCATAAAGCAAGCCTTAGCAAATTAAAAAAAATATCAAAATCATACTATGTATCTTCTCTAATCACAATGGAATGAAGTTGGAAATCAACAACTCAAGAATCTCTAGATCATATACAAACATGGGGATTGAACAACATGCTCCTGAATGAACAATGGGTCACAGAAGAAATCAAAAGAGAAATACAAAAATTTCTAGAAACAAATGAAGACAACAATACATCATGTCAAAACTTACAGGATACAGCAAAAGCAGTGTTAAGAGGAAGTTTATAGCAATTGGTGCCTACATGAAAAAATTGGAAAAGTACCAAATAAATGATCTATTAATGCATCTCAAGGACCTAGAAAAACAACAACCAAACCTAAAATTAGTAGGAGGAAAGAAATAATTAACATCAGAAGAAATAAATAAAAATGAAATTAAAAAAATACAAAGATCAGTGAAATGAAAAGCTAGTGTTTTGAAAAATAAACAAAATCGATACATCATTGGTCCAACTAACCAAAAACAAAAAATAGGGAGAAGATCCAAATCAATAAAATCAGAAGTGAAAACGGAAATGTAACTACAGATACCATAGAAATAAAAAGAATCATCAGGAATTACTACCAAGAGCTATATGCCAACAAATTGGGAAATCTAGAAGAAATGGATAGATTCCTGGACTCACACAATCTACAAAAGATGAGTCATGAAGACATAGAAAACCTAAACAGACCAACAACCAAGACAGAAATTGAATCAGTCATAAAGACCCACCCAAAAAAGGAAAGCCCAAGATGGTGGGAGAGAGAGAGGGGGAGGGAGAGGGAGACCAGATGGTGGTCTGGTGTTAGGTCTTCCAACCATTGGTCAAAGCTGTACTGAGACTGAATCTGTGGGCAGAGTGAAAGGGATGCCTGAGTAGGAAAAGGGAAGTCAGTGGACCAGTGACTGTAACATAATTAGGCTCTCCTTGCAGATAGAGTCTGGTGCAAACAGGGCATGGGGATAGAAGGCCCCTGGAAGTCCCCACCCTGCCCTTGTACTAGACTAAAGACATGTTTGTCTTCCAGGAATATTGAGCCCTGGGTTCTCCTGTGGTTTCTATCTCTTGCTACTTAGTTGTCTGTTCAAATACCATCTCCTCAGGATTGCTTTATTTGATCACTTGTAGGAAAATAGCTAGCACCTCTCATCCAAAAATCTATTATGTGTGTGTGTATAATAAATAAATTTATTTTCTTTATAAAACTTACTAGTATAGAAAATCATACCTTGTAATGTGTCATATATTGCATGAGTCCTTCTTATAAAATATCTCTTTTATCTTGTTCACCACTGAAATCTCAGACTCTGGCTTACAATTTATTCATCACAAGTATTTGCAGAGGGAAGGAAAGAAAGAAGAGAGGAGAGAGTATTTTAAAATTGGGAAAGTATATTAGAAAAAATCAAGCATTACTGAAATAACAAATCATGCTTGCATATATTTAAATACCACAAGCTCGCTATGATTTAAAGGAATTTCATGGACTGCTGTTTGCATTTTCCTCATATATCAGTGAAACCTGAACAAAGCAAAGATTTTTGTGCTTATGTATTATGCTTTAATTTTCAGGCTATATTTGGGTGAAATTGGGGAATGAAGAAACATAAGAAATGCTCTCAGAGCACAACCAAGATGTCAGCATTCACAATCCCACGTGCTACCCCTCTAAATCACACTCTTCCAGCTGGCTTCATTAATTTTGAAGTGGATAAGGGTAACAGTGCCAGATCACACCCAAACAGTTTAAAGCTGTGTAAGAACACAATAAAATGGTGACAAACAAGAGATTATTCTGGTGGCATATGGCTGATGCATTCAGGCTACCCTCAAATGCAACCTTTGGATTCTGTTTAAAAATCAGTGTCTGAATTACAGTGTTAGCATGCAAGGCAGTCTGCAGGCAGAAAGCAATTATTCCGCAGAGAAAAGGAGGGACAGAAAAAGGAAAGAGAGAAAACACATGGTCATCAGAGAAGAAACATGGGCTCAGATTAATGAGTATTGCCTACATGACAATCTACAAGAGGCAATAGAAAATGCATGAAAGTATTCAACAGGGAGAGGTGGCAACTAGTAGACTGACATTAAGGAGAAGAGATACAGAGAAAATCAGAGAAAAGAGGAGCCAGAAAGAAAAAGAAAAAAGCAAATGAATGGGGCTGGCCCTGTGGCATAGTGGGTAAATCCATCACTTTTGATGCAGCCATCCAAAATGGGTGTTGGTTCAAGTCCTTGTTGCTCCACTTCCAATCCAGCTCTCTGCTCATGGCCTGGGAAAAGCAGCAAAAGATGGCCCAAGTGTCTGGCCTGCTGCAACTCATGTGGGAGAATCGATGAAGCTCCAGGCTCTGGCCTGACTCAGCCTAGCTAATGTGGCCATCTGAAGAATGAATCAGCTAATGGAAGACTGAGTCTCTCTCTCTCCCCCTCTCCCTCTCCCTCTCCCTCTCCCTCTCCCTTTCCTTCCTATCTTCCCCCTCTTCCTCCTCTTTCTTCTTCTTTTTCTCCTCCCTCTCTGTAACTCTTTCAAGTAAATAAATAAATCTTTTTTAAAAAGTGAATGAACAAATGAAATAAACCTTCCCTCCTTTCTTGACTATCTACATAAAATAACGTTTTCATTAAAATGATGACAAAGTTCATGTTGCATCTTAAAGGCTGGAAATGTTGCTGTAACCATTATCTCCTCCATCTCTATACGAAAGTCCCTTCTTCAGAACATATTTCACCACTCACCCAATTCCCCACTAATCTTCAGGTTTAGGGATTCTTCAGAGCAATAAGCACTCATTCCAAATTACTGGGAACAAAGCTTCCAATTCAAGATCCTAGGGTATAGCCTATTTTTTACCTCTTAGTATCCTTTTTATAGTGTATAATTCAATGTAAACAAAATTTCTCCCATATCAGTCAAAAGACTATAAACCCGGTGCCGCAGCTCACTAGGCTAATCCTCCGCCTTGCGGCGCCGGCACACCGGGTTCTAGTCCCGGTCGGGGCGCCGGATTCTGTCCCGGTTGCCCCTCTTCCAGGCCAGCTCTCTGCTGTGGCCAGGGAGTGCAGTGGAGGATGGCCCAAGTGCTTGGGCCCTGCACCCCATGGGAGACCAGGATAAGTACCTGGCTCCTGTCATCGGATCAGCGCGGTGCGCCAGCCGTAGCGCACCGGCCGTGGCGGCCATTGGAGGGTGAATCAACGGCAAAGGAAGACCTTTCTCTCTCTCTCTCTCTCTCTCACTGTCCACTCTGCCTGTCAAAAAAAAAAAAAAAAAAACCTGGACTCTAAAAACAAAGTATTTTTCCAGAAGTTGCAAGTTCTTGATTGTTCAATGCCAATAGCTACCCCTGTGACCTCAAGTAATTTTCTTGTTAATGCATAGTGATATGAATATAGTTAATTACCTATACACTAAAACATTTCAAAATTATTTAAAATTGGAGTGATGTCAGCAAGGTAAGTAGATTGGAAGTTCCAGCACTCATTCCTTAAAAGAAACATTCAGGGGCTGCCACTGTGGCATAGTAGGCTAAGCCTCCACCTCCAGTACTGGCAGCCCATATGAGTGTTGGTTGCTGTCTCAGCTGCTCCTCTTCCAGTCTAGCACTCTGCTAACACATTTAGGAAAGCAGTAGAAGATGGCCAAGTGCTTGGGCCCCTGCACCCACACGGGAGATCCAGAGGAGGCTCCTGGCCCCTGGCTTTGGATCAGCCCATTGCATTGTGGCTGTTTGGAGAGTGAACTAGCGGATGAAAGACATTTCTGTCTTTCCTTCTCTCTATCTGTAACTCTATTCTTAAATAAATAAAAAAATATTTTTAAAAGAAAGAAACACCCATTTGATAATGCTATACAAGCTAAGCACCTATATCAGAATTTCAGATTCTAGTCAAGATGTTACAGTACCCAAAGTAAGCACAAAATGAGAACAGTCGCATTGAAACAGATAAGAGTAATTGTACTTATCAGGCATCAACCCTACCTTAAGTTGGAATAGTTTAGTGCCCAGAGAGAAAGCCTCAGTCTGTTTCCTCTACAATGAAGAGTAGAGTCTGCCTCCAACATCCCAGTTTTGTGGAGAACACCTGGAGAACTGGGTTCTGACTGGCCTGAATTGGAGCCCTGACATAGTTTGAATGTTTGGGAGCCACTGGAAACAAAGGACAATGGCACAATGAGGAGAAAGTGCCAAGCTTGATGTTACAGCTGATTTGAACTCTGGGAACTTGTCTTATCAGTGACAAAGTATGAGGCCAATGAAGGAGCAGACAAGAAGGTGGTTATAGCAAAGTTTTACTAAAAACATGAAGAGACAGAAACTCCTATACCTGATAGACCAGGTGGGCATCTCAGAAGGGACTAAAGCAGCAGTCTTCATTCAGACTGGGTTTTTATGGACAAGAGTATGGATCCCCCATTTATTCTCCCTCCTCCCTCTTCTAGGAAAGTATGGGTGGAGGAATTGTGGGTGTGGAGTTCCCCTAAACAAACCCCTCCTGATAATACTGGCCATCAAGGGTCTTATCTATTGGAGAAGCAAATGATTCCTTCAGCCCTGTGATTAGAATCTTCTCAGGCCAGCTGTAGCTCTCTCAAGCCAATGCATTCTTTTGATAAATGACAGGCAAGGACACCCAGGGCTAACGGAGAAAAAAGGCTGGGTCCTGCTGTCAGGAGTTGCTTCCTCATTCCAATGTATATACGTTTCTTTTTTTAAATCTCATTTTTGTTCCCTTTTACACACATAGGGTAATCTCTATCTAGCTGCATTAACACTGAGATTTCTCCTCTGACAGAAGAGAGAGGTGTGGAGGGTGTACTCAGTACTCGGGCTCTTTAGGCCACACACTGAGGAATTACTTTGTGTCTTGTCTCACTAGAAGTACTTATGCAAGTGGCATAATTTGGATGCCCTTGGGCCACTAAGAACAACCGTAAGCAGCCAGAGTGCGTCAGCACTATCAGGAGTGGGGATACAACTTGAGATTTCCCTCTCAGGAAAGAAGAAGAGGAATGGAGCTTGAGCTTGAGTCTGGTATTCTGGCTTTTTGGAGAACTGCCGAGGGACAAATATCTGTCTGCCTGACTCAGGTTGCTGATGAAGAGCTGGCATATTCTGAATGCCTGCTGACAACAAATAAGAAAAGGCATCTGGGAAGCTTGCTTTGCTGAAACCAAGAATGTACAATACCACAGACAGAAATGAACAAGAGCAAGAGATTAAAAGGTCCTGGGAAACACAAGAGCAAGTTTCTCTAATTGAGAAACTTAATGTCCAGAAAGGCTGTATTCCACCAGAAACTTTTGAGGTTTTCTCTCAAGACCATTTGGTGAGTTCCTTCCCTGTACAAAGTTCATGAAGACATGAGGCACATGAAGCAAAAGGGAAACCTGGCTCAGTCAAAGGAATAAAATAAAACTCCAAAAAGTAACCCTACAAACATAGAAGTATTTAAATTTCTTGAAAAATAATTCAATATAATAATTAATATGCTCAACAAACTGAACAAAATGATGAATGAACAAAATTAGGTATCAATACAGGCATACAATACATTTTTTAAAAACAGAAAATTTGTAGCTGAAGAATACAACTAAACTGAGAAATCAGCCAAGGAGGCTCATGATAGACTTGGTCATGCAGAGAAAAAAAATTAAAACTGGAAGACAAATAATTTGAAATTATCACTTGGAGAAACACAAAAAATTTTTTAAAAAGAGTAAGAAACCTAAGGAATTTATCATGATGTTGTCAAGTACCAATATACATAATAAGTCTATTTCAAAAATGAAAAAGTAAGAGAATAGGATTGAAATCTTATTTTAAAAAACAACAGCCAAAAAATTCCCAGATCTGGACAAAACAAACCTAATGCTCAATAAGGAGGATGTATCTGAAGATATCCAAATTAAGATTTGCTATAATAAAATTGACAAAAGCCAGAAAAAAAAAAAAAGAATCTCAAAGGCAGCACAAGAAAAGCGTCTCTTGTCATGTACAAGAGATGCTCCATAAACCTATCAGTAATTTTCTCAGCAGAAACTTTGCAGGATACAAGGGAGTGGGTACCAGCATACCGCACCAACTTCATAAAAAATGGAATAAAAAGAAAAGTTTATGTTGGTTCTGAAATTTTAAAAGATTGCAAATCAAGAGTACTATATGTGAAAAAAGAATTATCATCCAAAAACTGGAGGCAGCATAAGTATTTTCCCAGAAAAACAAAAATTAAGAGTTCATTGGCACTACATCTGCTTTACAATACTTATTAAAGAAAGTTAATCCAATATAGACCAAGGGGTGTTAAAC